ATTCCTTAGGGTGGTGCCAGTCTCATCTTCTTCGCTTTCCCATGCTCACGCTGTGGGCTGAGGAGATGCTTCTGTCCTTGACCCCTCTCATTCCATTCCATCACAGGAATGGTTGTTAAGAACGTAATTTGTCTCACATGTAACCTGTATCTGCTTAACTACCCTGTCTTCTCTTCCCTCCCCCATCCCAATTTAAATCATACATCAGTTTAGCCACACTATGCATTTGATAAAATAAGTTGAAGTTCATGAAAGGTTATGCCTTTTAATTTTTTTTTTTTAATTGTGAAAAAGTGCTACCAGACACCTTCTGATTTTTGGCTACCGTAGACTAACATGTCATCCTACAATATTTTGTGCTGAATGACTCCAATTGTTTTATTCTTACATCTCTTTACTAATATTCAGTTGTTTCCATGTTTGCATATAAGAGATATCTTTATCTCTGTTATTTTCTGTTTTGCTAATATTCAAATACTGTACAATCTTATTCTGTTTCTGTTTTTTCTTTTCAGATAATCGGACATATCACTTCCTGGCAGACAATGAACAAGAATGTAATATGTACGTACCAGGGAGAAAAAAATAAGTGCCCCTTCACTGGATCTCTCCAAAGAGAGGCTGAATAGATTTTTGAATCCTGTGCTGAGAAAAGGTTTATCTCAAGTGCCTGGATGGTCCCTTTTAAGTCTAAGATTGTATTATTCTTTTCTTACTAATTGAAGTTCTTACGTTCTTTCAATTTCAATTTATTTATGGCCAAAAGGTCCAAATAGTAAGTTACAAATATAATCTAAAATTTGGCATAAGAAAACAGTTTAACATGTAAAATATTTTTAAAATATTACATTATACTTAAACCCCCAGCTCAATGATTTGTTACTAAAAACCTTGTTTTTATAGCCATAGTTAAAAATCTGGCTGTTGCCTCTGTAATTTTAGGATTTTCATCTGCAAGTAAAATGTTAACATATTCAGAAGTATCTCTTCCTGGTTTTGATCTTAAAATAGGCCAGATAACTTCCTGACAAAGACTTATAAAATTCACAATACAATAAAATATGACCCACCATTTCAAGATCAGTACCATTACAGGGAAAAATTCTTTGAGAGATGGGGATTTTTAAAAATCTACCATATAGCATACTTGATGGCAACACATTTAATCTGGCTTTTGAAAAGGCTATTCTGTATTTACTTAAACTATTCAGATATTTAGGGAGCTGAAAAATATTTCTGTAATTAATTCCAAAAGTTACAGGTGAATACAAAACTTTGGCTTTAACCATTAATTCCTGTACTATATTATCCCATAATCTTTGTTTAATGCAATGCAATGCTGATGCCATACCACTGGAAAATAAATAATCAGGATCAATGCCAATCTGACTAAACTGTTGTGTTACCTGTTTAAACCACGTACCTACAAAAGATTCAGTATATTTGTTCTTTCAGATGTTCAGATGTTCAAATGTTCTATTGTTTTATTTTACTGATGGTGGGGGTTAAGAAGATTGTTAATATTCCATAATGGTCTGTTCTTTACTTGCTTTTAATTAAATTGTTGTTTTTAAATGGCCCAATTCATTTTAGGATTTTAGGAATATTTTCAAATAATTTGTAAAGCCTCAGATCTCCACTAGTCTTGTATGGTGGGTTAGAAGAGACTAGCACATGAGTCCCTAGAGTGGTCCTTCTGGAAAAAAATATGTCTGCAAATACTTCCTTGGCATCTACTAGGTTCCCTGGCACACCTGACTCCTTTTTTTTTTTTTTAAGTTTCTTTTCAATTAAAAAAATTAAATAGGAACTGTCAAGTCACAATGCAGACCATCAGTGTATGGCAATCTTTTTTATCCAGATGCTTTTGGGTCTCCATACACATTCTGAAAAAATAAAAATATAATAGAGAGAAATTCTGCCTTTCACAGATGCATGAACTGAATAAGTGGAGAGGATAATACTACCTTCTTTTCCCATGTCAGGGAAATGTTTCACCCGTCAATGTTGGTCTATCATGCAGACAGACTCCATTTTTACCCTCCTCCCTTCCTTAATGTGAAGGAAGCAATGCACACAGTGCTATTCTATAGACCCCCTTAATTCAAGGTCCCCAAGTTGTTTGTATTGATGGATACATTTGGAGTGTTCATAGCATGTTACGTACATTCTCACAAAATGGTGGGTCTGACCAATCACAAGCTTAAATCTTTACTTTAGATTAATTCATGTGGTCTGATGTGCAAATGCTCAGTTTTGAAGATGGAGTTCTACTTAACAAAATGAAGGCACTCATTTACTTAATGACACTTTCCTTCTATATTACAGATGGGTCTCTGTTATTAGTAACAGTAAAGAAGAAGCTTTGAATGTGGCCTTCAAACAAACACAAGTCAAGGAAGGATGCAGCATGGAAGACCTGACTGGAGCAATCATTGAGGAAATAAAGCACATGCCAGGAAACAACATGTGCTGTGACTGCTCAACACCAGGTACACAAAGAAACTGCTGCTCCTTCTCCCTTTATTTCAGAAGAACAATTTAAGATCTCAGCAAATGATCGTATCAAATAACTAATTGTAGAAATGGGTGATATACATAGGCATGATGTTCAAGCGTCAGCTCTTGTCATACATATATACAGTATTTGCCAATAGAAGTGAATATGTGTAGCTCAGGGTTGAACTATGGAGTCCTTAGAGTCCTCCGAGCTTGGTTGTTTGATTGCAAATGTTTCATTATCTAGTTAGGTAACACCTTCAGTGCTAGAAGGGAGTGGGGTTTGTGCTCTGTTTATATACTGTGGCATGCCCTGCCAGTGTATTTGCATCTGGCACAGGGACAGGATATGAAAAGGTGGGGTTTGCATTAAAACATCACTGTACAGATGTCATCATTTTCTGTCATTACACTAGCTGTGGATGCCTAGGATTTTCTAGGAGGTCTCTGCTAGACTTCACACAAACACTTAGAAAATTGCTTCTAACCCACCACCATACAGTTGTCTTCATTGCTGTCTGTCCTTGAGAAGCTGGGAAAACCACAAACCATGCATTGTTTCATTCAGCTGACCCATTTGAGAATTAAAAAATGGCATTGCATCAATGCCCAATGTGAGAGTTAGTTCTGACATAGCCCACAAGAAACAGGTATGTTCTGGCAGCAGATCTCACTGTTGCCAAAACATAGAAACAAATGGAAATGGGATTTCTCCTCAAGAAAAGGGGATGGACCACCTGTTGCACAAGAGGGCAAAAGGAGACACAAACATGTTTGAACCTTAATTCACTAAAGAGAGTTTGATGTTGCAAAACAACAATTGCTCCCCCTCCCCTTTTTTTTTGAATGAGACATTTCCATCTGCCCTATTCCTTGTTCACAGACTGTTGAATCTGACTATAGGCTTTGTTTTCCCTTATTTTATTTTTTATGTTTTGAATCAAATTATTCTATAGTAAACAGTCCATCTCCACTATTAATATTTTAGGGAATACCTACACAATGTCAATACATTGGGATAATTTCCCATGTTATTCATAATTTCCAGCAAGGTAACACTAACTATATTCCTGTGCTTTCTGGCTGCATAGATCCAGCATGGCTCTCCATTAATTTGGGGATCTTAATCTGCATTGAATGCTCTGGGATTCACCGAGAGATGGGTGTTCATAACTCCCGTATCCAATCGTTAGCCTTGGACAAGCTGGCCACCTCAGAGCTTCTGGTAGGAACTAATTTTGTCCTGCACCATCACTATTCTTTCACAAGCTTAGCACTGGAATAGATTTGATATGTTTCACTATGTAATAAAATATGTATTATATTCTTATTTCTCTTGCAGTTGGCTAAAAATATTGGAAACTCACGATTTAATGACATATTGGAAGCCAACCTTCCCAGTTCATCTTCAAAGCCTACTAAGGACAGTGCAATGTAAGGAACATTCATTTTTTTATGAACTTGAGAGTGGGATGGGAAAGGGCAGAATTATCATGATTGCTTAAAACAGGCTTTAAAAAACTGAGAAGATCAGATGAACAAGTGGTTACATTCAGTGTGAGGTCTGGCAATCTAAAAGTAAATTGGAAAATAAAAATAAAAGCAACTGAGACTGCAGCAATTCTGTTACTTTATTGTTATAAGAAGTTCCCTGATGGATCAGACTAAAAGACCATGAAATCCAGTTTCCTGTAGTGATATCCATTTGCTTCTGGAAATCCAACAAGGCTTATAGGTACTAATCCTCTTTCCCTGTTTGTAACTATAAATATATATTTTTAACAACTGTCATTGGTTATATAGAAAAAGCAGAGAAATAATAGGAAAGCATGATTTCATTGTAAGTAGACTTTGAAGTCTTTGGTGCTCTCTGAGTTTGGTTGTTTGCTTGCAGATGTTTCATTACCCAACTAGGTAACATCAGTGAGAATGAGTGTGGGGTTTGCTCCCTGTTTATATACAGTAGCTTGCCCTGCCAGTATTGGTGGGGGTGTGGTTTTCTCCTCGATAGTTCTTTGATTAGCGTATTGTTTTCTGCTTGATTGTTTGCCTGGTGTTAATCCCTGCTTATCTGGATTTTGGCTGCCGGAGAGGATGTGTTCTGGTCTTTTTGTTTCCTTCTTAGCTTTTTTTAAGAAGAAAAGAAGCTTGCTCACTCCTATTGAGTTGACAGTCCCTTTTGAACACATTGCTAAGCAGTTGTTCCTATCAGGCATAGTAACTGAAAAGAACAGCATAACTTTGGGATTCAGGAGCTGTAAAAGAAAGATAATGATTTATAGAATAAGAAACACTTGATATCCCCCTGGCTAGAGTTGTATCACATCATCTTTAAATTTAATATCCAAAACATTGAACTCTAGGCCAATTCCTTGAAGTGCTTCTCCAAGAGTTTCATGGTAGTGATGAATGTTTTTTTTGGATCCACCACAGAAAGGGAGAGAGAAGTATTTGTATGTCTCCTGGCGATTGTGATATGGTCCTACAGTATTCATCCATAAAGCAACTTCTTCTTTATCTTGGTACCACACCTGGGCATGGGAGCTGCTGCCGAAGGACGAGGGAGGGAGGGAGAAAGAGCAAGCCCATCTGTCCCCATGGCTTCAGGCGCACCGCGCCCCTCACCATGTGGTCATGCTCATCGGCCTGGCCAGGCAAACCCAACAAGGCCACCACATACCACAGGAACCCGGCTGGCGCCATCCCCGTTGTTGCCGCTGCCCTAGAGTTGTATCCCCTTCTCATCCTTCAATTCTGTGATCCTGTGACATAAGTTTTAAAATTCTAAGTCAATCTTCAACGTGCCTTGTTCTCATTAAAAACTACAAACCAAGGCAAAAGATAGTACAGTGAGAAGCCAAGAGAAGTAATGATAACAGGAAAGACTTAGAGTATACAGGATCCAGGGATCATAACCTATCATATATACAATAACCAGTGCCATGCAGAAAAAGTATCTTGCATTTTTTCCCTACATTTTGCTTTTGTAATGTATTGCAAAAGAGAAGAGAATCTAGTGGATTTCTCAAGGCCAGAGTGCAGTATTCTTTCATTTGGTGTGGTTGCAAGACTTAGAATGTCCTCTCTTTCCCTGTACTGTACTGTACCTTTCTTCTGTGGCCTGGCATACCTCTGGTTTTCCATGCTTCCACCAGATCCCAAGAGAAGAATTTCCGTTGGGCTGTTTGAAATTTGGAAGTGCAGTCAGCCAGGCCTGCTTCAGAGCCATGGAAAGCAAAAATCAACAACAGCATTACTTTCACTTTCTCCAACAATAAAATAAGCTAAATTTTTTTAAAAAATCACCTCAAATATTCTGAGAATACAGAAGAAGAACTGAACGTTGATGTATGGAAGAGTGTTTGGTTTTGGGGTACAGCGAGTTTTTATTATGGTTTTATGGGTTTGGGATGTTTTTACCATTGTTATGAGCCACCCAGGCTTATGGCGATAAGATGGGTGGTCATATAAGTCAAACAAACAAACAAGAATAGTATTTTGCAGGGGAAGGAAACACTGCAAGACCAATTTCAATACAAAATTATTTATAACCGTCCTGCCTTTCCTATTCCTTTTTTTTTTTTCCCCTACCCAAAAAAGTAATCTGCTAAGTAGGGAACAATAGAACAAGTGCAGGATGTCTTTTCTTTGGTAGCTGTAGCAAAGTTCTTTTGGAGTCTTATGATTTGCACTTCTTTGCTTGTTGGAATGTCATTCATTGTTTCTGCTAGCAGATCATTAACGTGTACCTTTGAAATCTGTAGTTTCTGTCTTTGCCCTGTATCATTACAGGACCCTTCGGAAAGATTTCATAATTTCTAAGTATGTTAATAGGAAGTATGTTGTTCCGAGGATCATGAGAAGTCCAATTGTCAAGCTCAAGAATTTGGAGAATGCTGTCAAAGAGAAGGATATATTTATTTTGCTTCAGGCATATGCAGAAAAAATGAATTTAAGTGAGCCTGTTCTGGAGTTTAGCCAGGTGAGACTTCCTCCTATTAGAAGCTGAGGGATATACACCCACTTCAGCAAAGATGATACATTAGTACCAAAGTGTGGAACATGCAGTACACTCCTTTTATTGAAGATTGTAAGAAAACATTGGTTTCTAAACTATGTGCTAAGGAGGATAATCAACCAAAAGTGACTCAGCATTAATATTTTGGTCTTTTTCTTCAGGGCAGTAGCTTGCCCAATAAGGAACATATTAACTTCCCTTTCCTTCTTCTGAGTCAGAGTCCACTGAATGCCAGTGGAAAGAAACTTGGTACAATTTGACACAGTTGTTTTTATATACCAGTTTTCTACAGTTTGGTGTCCTCAACATGTGTTGGATTGTTACTGCCATTGTCAGTGGGGCTGATAGATTCTGTTTTCCCACACATTTGGAGGCCACCAAAAAGGGTGATGCTGTTACACTTATTTCCACCACGGCCTCTGCTGTCTGCTTGTTTTGTCAATGCTCTACATTTTCTTGTAAATATAATTAATAAAATAAACAAATAACCCCTCTTTACTAATAATAAGTATGTAGAAGTTGGAGCACTCTTCCACTGCAGCCTAAATGATGAGCTTTCACAATTGCTACAGGAAGTTCTGTGATTCTGCTTCCACGTGAGGGGACTTTTTAATGTTAACACTAAAAAAGTAGTTTTAAAAATGGATATTTACGATGGGAACAGCTGGGTGGAATTAGTTTCATAGACAGGATTAAGCAGCCCCTTCCCCCTTGCTCCAGTAAACTATTAGCCATCCATGGTTGTTCAGTTGCACAGTAAATCAGAGGCCAATCTGTAATCTAAGTTTAGGCAAGTACTTTCATAAACTTTCCTCTGATGTTTTTTCTATTGTGAATAAGCAAAAATGGAAGAAATCATTCCCATGATGCTAGTTCTCCATTAATTATCATGGACAGCTATTTTTTTAAATAATCAGCTTGTTTTTGTTTCTTGTTTCAAAGGAACCTAGAGAGACACTTCTTCATCTGGCAGTTCTAGTGGGTGACCGAACCTCATTGCATATTGTAGATTTTCTGGTGCAGAACAGGTGAGTTGATTTGATAGGCCTAACAGATTTAACAAGCAGCAAGTGTTCCTGTGTTTTTTCACATACAAGCCAAATAAAGTGGGGTACTGATGGATTCTGAGCTGCTAGCACTGAAGTTTCCTCACTCTGGCAGAACAAAAATTTGACATACCCCATATAGGTCCTTCTAAAATGGTCCTTTACTTCTTTGATCTTCCCTCATAGAGCTCTATTCTTCCAACCACAACACCAGTTCCAATTCTGAATTTTATCCAGTTTGTTCATCAGGCTGCTGAAGTATAACTCAGATAAGAACGTCTGCATTGCATTCTGCACATACATCAAGTGATAACTTGCTGCTACATGGGTGCTTTTGGAATTCATTGGCTTTAGTCATTTTGCACCCCCAAAAGAATGTTTTCAGAGGATTTAACACTCCTTCTCAACATTGTCAGATGGGGTGGGGAGGCTACCAGGTGAGTAGACAATTGCCCATCAACAGACGTGGATTCTGTTAGAAATTAAGAACATTTGCAAAAGAGAATTTTTCCATCCTTTCTTCTTATGGTAGTCCCCGTGTCCATATCAAGATTTTTCAGAAAGGCACAAATGACTTTAGCAGAGATGAAAGGAAGGAATGTTTATTCTCTGTGAAATTCTATAAGTTGATTTATTTTAGGATCTAAGCAAGCAATTGATTTTATTGTAAGAAAGCACTATCTGTAATGTTTAATTTATTTCTGCAATTGTTTGCTACCTCAGTCATTACAGACTCTAGGCAATTTACAGATTTTAAAATAGCAATAAAATAAAATATTTTAAAACATTTCATAACAAAATCATAACACAATATCTGTCTCCATCGCTATCTATTACACACACATACACATGTCAGGCACTCCTATGGTGCTGTAATCTATGAAAGCTGACTCCCACATCTGATCTATGACAAGGTTGCATCTCATTATGTGCCTGAGTCTGCCTCTTATTCAGATTGTTGACAACAGAGAGGCCTTGACCATCATTTATTTTTCATGCTAGAAGGCTGATTTCCATACACAAAAATAGCTGAGAGGCAACTAGAAGAAGCAATGGGATTGTGTTTGTATTCATGTGCATGTGGAATGAACCTTATCTGCTGCTGGGGGAAGATAATGATAGTGGGGGCACTGTCAAGATCCTCAGCTGAAAAGAAAATTAAACACTTGTAGAGAAGCAGAATGAGATCAGTTATGAAATCTATGGCGGTAATGGCATGGCCTAGACCTAATTTTCTCCCTCCCTGTTCTAAGCGGTTTTTAATTCTTACAGCAAGGCCACTTATTCGTTATTGGACCATAATCCATCGTACTAAGGTTTTCAGATTTGATGGCTGTAATCTAAAGGAGTGTAAATGTAAATAAGAGGAATCTGTTTCTGGAGCCGGGCTCTACAACTAGCATGATATCTACCAGGAAATGTGGTTGTCCATAAGTGAAGGATTTTTATATGGCTAATAATTTTCCCTCTTCTAGTGGAAGCCTGGTGAAGCAAACCTCCAAGGGAAATACTCCCCTTCATTACTGCAGCCTGCACAATAAACCTGAATGCATAAAACTCCTTCTGCGAGCAAAAGCCAACATTGCAATCAGTAAGTGATTATGAAATAATATTAGTGTTCTGAATGAGAAGGCAAAATGTCAGTCTATTTCACTATAATGCTACAGTATGTATAGTGAATAGTATAATACTATGATAGTGCATGCTCTGTAGTATATTTCTTCTTTTTTTTCTATCTCCTCTACAGTGTTTTTTCTTGATTTTAGGTTTATTTTCACTTAGTAGTAATGGATGAATGTTCAGTTTAAGACAACATACTTGAATATTTGTATCACTGTAAATTTTATTTTAAGACTGCATACCTGAATATTTAACCCATTCCCATTAATGTCACTGCATTGGCTTAGCCTGTTTCTGGCCAGTATTTAACTTCAAGCCATTTAAAAATGAACACAAGAAATTACTAAATTCTATAGAACTATGGGAGAGAACAACATTCTGCAAAGATTGGGTATGTTGTTTTAGGCTTATCTTCATATCTATCAAACCCAACAGTTAACCACTTGATTGGTGGCTAAACATGCTGTTCCAGGTACCTACCAACACTTGCCCACCCCACAGGTGCCAGCACTTTACCCAGGGCAAGGCAGTAAATCTCACCCTAGCAATTCAAACCTACATTCAGGAGCATTAGCACAAGAGTCAAGGACAAAGCTTGAGTAGGTAAATTCTAATAGAAGCAAGTATGTGTAGCTCAGGGTTGAACTGTGGAGTCCTTGGGATTCTCTGAGCTTGGCTGTTTTCTTGCAAACGCTTTGTTACCCCAAGGACTCCACAGTAGGTAAATTGTTTTTATAACTGATAAGAAAGTAGTCTTAATTAACAAAGAAAATCAGCTACTGCCAAATCTAGAAATCAAGTCATATTTGTATCAGGCATAAGGTTGAAATCCTGCATCTTTTTCTCCAAGTTGGTATTGGACATTTTGCCACTCATTCTTGGCCTTAAGAGCGGAACATCTGCACAGGGTTTTGATAATGGTCCTATCTGGCCTCAGGCTCTTTTGTTTCCAGCCCTGTCAACTACAGCCCTTGCAGGTGGAGTAATGGGTGTTTTTTTTCCTCTCCAGAGGCAATGATTGGTGAAATGGGAAACAAAGCCAGGGAAATCCACCAATCACTTTTCATAACTTGTACCACATTAAATCAGCAATGACTGGACCATTGTGTCGCAGAATAGAGATTGGCAATGAGAGCAGCACAGTTTATGCTACCCTGGCATACTTTACTGCTGCCCTAAGGACTGGAGGATAGCATTTTAACCCTTTGCCCTTAGTGCATTCAATTACCAGAAGCTACAGTGAGTGTTAATTTCACTATAATTTGCAATTTATTGTGATACAACAGATTTATCTTCTCTGCAGTCTTGAGGAATTCACTTCTCCTTTCCTCCTTCGATGCAGCTGTAAGAAAGAAATTAGAAGTTTTCATGTTTAATGTTGATTAACCACAATTTAGCAGTGTATTCATAAGCTAAAGTCTAGTTAATCTTGTAACTATGGCTTCCTTGAACTGACAAGCAGTCATGTAACTGTAGATATACCAACTGAGTCTTGGTTGCTCTTCTGCTTAAGAAAAAAATTAGGCTCAGAAAGTATCAACCCCACATGTGTCATTTTGAAGAGATTTTATTCTCGGATGACACAGATCTATCTCTAGTATAATGACTATAATTGTGAAAACAACAGAACAGCTTTCATTACATTTTTTTTTTTGTATCTTATTGTACACAATGTTTAAATTTACATAGTGTTGTCTTTTATGTTAATAGTTTCTATATGTAACTTGGAGAATCACTTAAGAATTAATGTTTTAAAAACTGTGTTTAAAACAGAGCAACTTTATATAAACAGTAGTCTAACTGGCTTACTTCAAAGAAACCTTTAGGCATCAATGGTCACATTCTAACCCAGCAAACTGAGCTCAATCAAAAATAAAAACAAGACTTACTAAATTCTACTCTGGAATGGAAGAAAAAGAAAGAAAAGAATTTATGAAAACAAAATGTATTCCCATCACAATATTCCGATTTATCATAATGCCCAATATAGACATTCTTTATCCTGCTCCCCACTTCACCTGACTCATCAAAACCATACCGTAGTGTAGTGTTTCAGGATGGCTCAGCACCCACTATAAGGGAGGTCAGCCATGAATTTTCCTATGCCATATATTTTCCTTTTAGGGGAACTTTGCTCATACTTCCTGATTTCTTCCACATTACCTGCTTAATCCAGAGGAGAAAACCTTTTTAAATCTGGTTTTCACAAAGGTTCTAGCTGAGGCAGTTGTCAGAGCATTGCATTTTAATGTTTTATATATTGTCTTCCTGTCTTTTGTAAGATCTCTCTCTTTCAGGGGTTGCTACAGGGAGGGGGTCAAAAAAGTCAATATGGTGGCCACAACCATGTGATTGAAGCCCCACCCTTTTTTACATGCATGATAATGCACAAAAAAATGGGCAGGCCTTCGATTGCATGATTGTGGCTTCCATATTGACTTTTTTAATCCACCTGCAGACACCCCTGTTCTTGCTCTGCATTTAGGTGCTGGTGGAAAAAGTAGTATCTCAGCCATGCCAAACACACACAGTATGCAAACCACCCTTTTTTTTAGGAAAAAAGTTTCAAACTGGAAATACAAACACACACATGTAGCCACAGTTTTTGAATGTCTTTCTGATATCCTTTCTGTCCAGAAGTGCAACTTTCTTGTCTGGACTTAAATGCCATCTTCAAAATGTGGTTGACACTATGATATATATAAATGGAGTCAAATCTATTAACAATTTCTCTAATTATTATTCATTTGGTGATGTCTGACATTTTCCCACAGCTAATGAAGCTGGAGAGACAGCACTTGATATTGCTAGGCTAATGAATCACACTACATGCGAGGATCTGGTAAGAAACAGCAGGTTTAACACAAATTTCTAACATCATCCTAGGACCCTGACAAGAGGTGTCTAGATTATGTTCTCCAGACATAGCTAAAGGCAGGATCTTTTCAAAATGCAAAGTATGTTGAAACTATTATGACCCTATTATACACATGCCTTTTTTCCTGCAGCTTTTATCATGATCTCTTCTCTAACAGGTGTTCATTTTTACCTAGCATAGCACTTAATTGTAAATTATAAAGCAGAAACGTGTTTGTTAAGTCATAACCACAACTGCTTAAATTAAAGTGTGTCTGTTTTTATATGACTTATGTATGTGATCATCAGCTAAAGATGATAGAGTAACAGATTCTCCTCACTTGCAAACAAAAATCTAGAGAGCGTGTTTCTTTTTCCTTTTGAATAAGTGAAAAGTTAGATGTGTATTCACTTAGGGATGCAAACAAAAATGTATAGTTTCACTTTTAAGAAAAGGAATAAAAGAATGATTTTCTTGAATCTGTATTGAGAAGAAGCAGAGATGTTGTAGGCATTAATAGGATTACCCAAATAACTGAACAGGCAAAGGAGGTCACAGACAGTTGGAAGGAGGACAAATGGGAAGAAAAGGAACTTACTTTCTTGGCATTGCAACAAAAATTACAGCAGAGAGCTGCAAAAAACATGCACTTAGGTCTACATGTATGTGAAATTACTTTTTCCAGCATCAGAAAGATTGGATTTTCAATCACAATATTTGTCCAACAAATCTTTATTTTCAAGAATATATGCTAGCAATGATATAGAATTGATGCCACTCTTTTCAAATTTCACCATAGAAACCTATGTCAAGTCCTGCGATCTACAGAGTAGAATGATCATAGATTTGAAGGGGCTGGATTGAAGCCTGTTGCTGGAATCAGGAAATAAATTGAATAACATAAATCTAGGCTGTTGGGTCTGTAGACAGACTAGGGAAGGAAAGAAGCAGGCAATTTACAGCGTCACAATACACAAACATTTGAATGACTTCTCCTGTGAAAACAGTTCAAAATAATTTTTTAAAAAACCCAAGACACTCAAAAAGCAGGACAATATTGGATTTTAAGGCTATGCCTGCCGGACAAAGAACCTGAGGACAAAAAGGAGGACAGGTCCTCCTCCTTTTGCTGGGCGCCTGGTAGCCTTAGGTTTGAGGGAAGCTCTTACAAGGTTCCTTAATCACAGGCAAACCATGAAATGCTTTCTTAGAGGTGATAATTTTATGAATGAAATTAAGGAAAGGACTGAAATCCCATGGACTGGATACAGGCATGTCAGGTGCAGCTTTCCTCCTCCTCCCTCCGTTCTTTTTTTCATCAGCTATAATAGGTAGGTTTTCTCAGGTCAGAAATAGTGAGGTTGAAATGTAGAAATATTCAGTCCTCAGCCCTGAATTCATCCTGTGCCGAAGTTGGTCTTGTGATTTCTCAAAAAAATAAAAATAAAAATCCCTGTGAGACTTTTCTGTTTTTGTTTTTGTTCTTGTTTAACTTAGTCTTGGGTGTTTGAGAATTACTTTTCAAATTTATCTTGATGGTTGTTTTGAGCTTTAGTTAGTTGGTTTATATAGCTGCCGCTCAGCACATGTCTCAGGGTTGTGTGCATTAATCAAGAGCAATAAATCCACTTTACAGTAAACAATAAAAAAACTAAACATGAAAACACAGGCGCATGCAGTGCTGGGGAAAATTCTTCCAACAGGACCATCCCACTCCCTAACCCAATGTCTGGGAAAAGAGCCAGGTCTTTGCTAACTTTTGAAAGGCAGCCAGAATCACGGCCAATCAAATCTCAGGGGGGTGCTGTTGTAAAAGGGCACGTCTCCTGGGTCCCACCAGGTGATATTACCTAAGCCAGTGTTTCTCAACCTCAGCGACTTTAAGACGTCTGGACTTCAACTCCCAGTATTCCCCAGCCAGCAGGGAATTGTGGGAGCTGAAGTCTAGAATGGGGCTGGAAGTGGTAGAAAGTGCTTCTGCTAGGGCTACAGCTATAGTTTTCTGGCTGCCCACACAATTTGAAAAAGCTCAGTGGGAGGAGTTCACTCATGATGTCTGCCATCGGGACTGAATAGAAGTGAAAGGAAGGAAGGTTGCACCACTGATGGACAGATGATTGAAAGGGAATTCATTTATACCCTTTGACCATCTTATTACTAAACAAATGCAAAAAAACACCTTGAGAATTTATGTGAAATTCTTCTTTGAAATTTCAAAACACTTTCTCTTCCACTGAATTGAATGAAAACTGGGGGGGGGGGAAGCAGAACAACTGTTCTATGTTGGACTACCCTGAGTATACAGCACAGTACTTTATAGTAGTGTGATTACAGATCTAAAGATTCCTTCTCTTTGTTTTCTGGTACTTCCTAATTTCCACTGAAAGTCCCAAATACAAAAGAAAACAGCTGTTAGTCCAGTAGGTTTAGAGTTTGCTTGGAACTTTCCCTGCACACTACAAACATGAGCAGAGATGGGGTGTTCTGTGTCTTCCAGCTATTGCAGGCTGAAAGTAATCAGTTCAATATGCGTGCCCATGTCGAATATGAGTGGCAACCAGGCCAAGAAGATATGTTTGAAAGTGATGATGAACTGGATGAGAAGGTAAGATCTCAGCACTTCTGGCCAGTTATTGTGTAATCTGAAATGTGTGGCCATCAATTCTTATTTCTTTCAATTGTGCTTAACTGCCAATAGAAGAGAACATATGTAGCTCAGGGTTTAACTGTGGAGTCCTTGGTGCTCTCTGAGCTTGGTTGTTTGATTGCAGATGTTTCATTACCCAACTAGGTAATGACTAGGTAATACTAATGATATTACCTAGTTGGTTAATGAAATGTCTGTAATCTAACAACCAAGCTCAAAGAGCACCAAGGACGCCACAATGTGCTTAATTGATATGGTACAGATTCAGTATCCTGTTAATGGATTATCGACTTTTTTATTGGATATCTTTTCTGATACCAATTCCATGAAAACTATATGAATATTTATCAGAGTCACTGAATTATAAAAGGAACGGGGTCCTACCTAATTTCCTAGACTTATTTTGATATTCCAAGGCTGCAGTCTTGCACTATGTTTATGTCACTGAATATCAGTGGTCTTAAGCACATCTCATTCTGTGGTTAGGTTGCCACCCGTAGACTTTCATCTGAAAGTTCTGCTACAGACAGACTACTTGTTACTATATATCTAAGACCACTATTTTAAAGAGGATTTTTTTCCTAATATTATGGTCCCAAATATTATGATAAATGTATCAGTTATACAAGTATATGAATATAAAGAATACTATTTCTATCTTCATCTTTCCAGTAATATAGTCTACTTGTATGTTGCAGCTCTGTCCAGTGAAAAAAGATCGCTTTCATCGTCCACAAAGCTGCTACAATCTGCCTGGGTCAGCCTCTCAGTCATGGAAGAACCCAGCGGGCTTTTCCAGAGGAGCCAGTCCAGCATCCCAGGACAAATGCCAAGACATATATGCCATACCGCATGCCTCTAGATCTGCTGCAACAGCATCTCCTCCCACTTTTGCTTATCCAGGCCCACCACTGCCACTACGCAATGCACCCAGAGGTTAGACAGTGTTTTCTATGTTCTCGGAATTTTATCAAACTTTACTTAGGTTAGTTCCATTGTGTGCTCTTTGATCTTTTCTTAACTGTCTTAGCTTTCCATCCATTCTACCTGGATAAAGTTGTTGGCAGTAATCTATTTTAATATTGAATCCAATTGGTGTAAAACAACATACTTATACTTTAATATAAATACAGTAGATGAATCTGATTATATAATTAACCCATTCTATTTATTTGCTTCCTGCGGTTTATTAAAATTGCTGTAATTGAATTTATTTCTCAGCCCCCAGCTTCTCTCCTCCAATACCCCCAACCAGCAGCTCTGTCTACCCTGTAGATACACCAGCTAAAAAGGTTGTGCCTCCACCTCTGACCATTAGACATAAGCGGACCTCCTCAGAGCCTTTCCCCTCTACACCACTGAATCACAGTCCTTCTGATGGTAAGAGAGCCTACTAAATCACTTATCAACTGGAAAATGCTACAGTTATAGAACAGGAACAGCCTAAAATAAAGGAATATATGAAGTGGTTTCATACTGATTCAAATAACTGATCCATTATGCTTTTGATGCAGGCAGTTGTGCATCTTCACCCCAAGATGAACAGGCGATGTGGTGGGAGTGTTCATCTGGTGCTTGAAGGCTGTGAGGGATGGGATGGGATGGGATGGGATGGGATGGGATGGGATGGGATGGGATGGGATGGGA